AGACCTAGACGAGGTCGAAAACGCAGTCCACTTCCGCCGGAATGAGAATACCTTTTTGGACAGAAATGCTATGTGGGCTTCAATAGAAGTGTAAGATCTACTCATTTCATTGTTGGAAAGATACAACTACCAGTCCCCTTATCGCCTAAATCAAATAGGCTGAATACACTTCATATATAAATGGCCTGTTGATAATCTCGAAAACCAACTTATAAACTAAATAGATGCAACTTCTTTTTCCATCAAGATTAATGTTTCCATTTCTGGTTGCAAAATAGCCGAAGGCAATCCTGATATGCTTTTTATCACTGATATACATAAAGAGCTATTATTCGTGTCACATAAGATGCTAATGTTCTAGGTCATTTTGATACTCTTTTTATTCTGGGCAAACACTCCAAAAGTGATTTAGTATTTAAAGGTCTTGGGTGTAATTACTGACCGTTCAACTCTGCCTATAGCCTACTCCCAAGGCGCAACATTCAAGGCCAGCATTGCTGAAGACTATGAAGGCTAATTCTCTGGAAGGCTGACACAAAACATCTCTTTTTTATCACTAGTTTAAGAGAATTAATGATCATTTAGCCTGACTATCCGTACTATGAAGTAATGGGGTACTCTCCAAGTAGTTGAGTTTTCCCACATTCATATGAATAGAGTCCACAGTGTTCTTGCATTTCACATATCCTTGCTTTCCCGAAAGGTGTTCTCATCCATAGCGGACTGCATTCTCGGCCTCGCCTAGGTCCTCTCAACACCCCCAGCGGTAGTTGAATCATGATAGTGCAACGTGTAATCTCGACACGTTAACCCCTACGTCACATTGCCAGTGGCAATGTGTTGATAAGACCTGTGAGAGGTGGAAACTGCAGTCCATCCTGGATGAGAATACCTTTTGGGAGGCAAGGCTATGTGAAATCCAATAACAGAGTCAGTTCTATTCATATGATTGTGGGAAAATTCACATTAATGGAAATGGGGTGAATACATCTCATATTGTTTAGCTTACTTCCATTTCGAGTGAAAGTGTTGGGTGAAGAGATTCGAAGGTCGGTTCCACCAA